TTGTTTCCCATAAAGAGTAAAGCCAAACCCACTAAAGACTGAAAGTGACTGGTTCTGTGCTAAGGGATTTGAGGGTACCCAGTTCCGATCAGACAGATCTGCATTGGCAAGGCACAGAAGTCTGTCTGGTGAAGTTGTCCTTGGGTTGAAAGATGCAAGGAGCTGGGAAAGGTTTTCCTCATACTGACTGGGAAACTGAGCAGAGCACTTGCAGGCAAACTGGCCTATGAACACAAGCTTAACTCTCTGTCTCAAACACATTCATGCACGCACTCCAATTGTCATGCACACAAACACAGGCCCACCATTCCTTGTCAACATGCTTGGATCCTGGGTTGATTCCGTCCTCCAGCTGGTGGGACACCCCAGAGCAAGTGGCACCCTGCAAACAGGGCTTTTACTTAGCTCTAGGATGGCCCTGAAGCCCCTGAGAGTGAGAGTCTTGCTCGAAGCAGATCTGCACATGGGCTGAGAAGCCCCTGGGAGACTATAGAGACTGCAATTTCAAAGTGTGGGTTTGGCACGGCAAGTTGGAGCTCCTGGGGGGCTACTGGGCTGGTGGGGAAGGGAGAGAAGGGAGACCAGATGCAGGTACCTGTCCTGAGAAAGGCTAGCAGCAGCAGGCAGGGCAAGAGCAGCATCTTCCCGGCAGCGGCAGCAGTGTTGAAGGCTGAGGCAGCTCTGACTGTCTCCTCCTAGGGAGGGAAAGCAAAGAAACCACACAGAGCTGCCTGGCTCCCGCATCCATTACCGGGTACCATCAAGCACCTCCCTGCGCCATTAGGCCAGGCTGCACTTAACGGCTTGCCTCTGCAGGGACCTTGCCAAGCTGGGGGCAGGGAAGATCCATTAGGGAAGCGACCTGGCTAATGGGAGGGGCCAGAGTTTGGCCTAGTAGTGGGGAGAAACGATGTGGTCAGGAGCCTCCCCAGCGGGGTCTTCAGCTCAGGAGAAAGGCCCAGGGGGCTTTTTACACCAAGGCAGGCCTCCACTCAGAATCCAGGCACCTGCTGTGTTCAACATCAGGAAAGACAGACAAGCACTTTCTGGGCAGCGTCCCATATTGGCGGGGGCGGGGGGCAGGCTTCTACAGAACAAACAGCCAAGAATCCAGGAGCACTTCTCTTGGGTATGGGTTTTACTGGGCTAGATAATATTCATCTACTGTAAGAATGTAAGAAGAGTCTACTGGATCTAGCCAGCATCCTGTTTTCACAGTAGCCAACCAGGTGCTGAACCCTAACCCTGTGGGAAACCCCCAAGCTGTAGGCAACAAAAGTTTGCATTTGGCTTCCTAATAGTGTCACTGGTGTTCTTGGTTGCATTTGTAACACTCAGGGTTTTGTCATGGTCTAGAGCTACACCTTTTGATGAGGGTAACTGATGGGTCTCTAACCCTCCATGAGTTAGGGACTTTCCCTGCATGTGAAGACAGGCTCCAGCGGGTTGAGCGGACGAGACCAGTAGTGGGTCCAACAGTCAGGAGGCAGTTTCTGCACATGCTGTAGTAGAGGGAGTGAGGGTCAGATGTGGCTCGTCAACCTGGGAAGGAAGACATTGATCCTAAACCTCCACTGCCTTGTGGGATATCTTCAGGACAAGAAAAGGAGTAAACCCTACAAAGAATGAATGGCACCTCGTACACTTGCTTCTGGCAACACTTGCAGCCAAGCTGGTGCCAAATGTTTTGCTTTCCTTTGGACCACATCAGCAAGGCCAAGAGGGTGGTCTTGTCACCTGGGAGATAAGGACCTCTGTATGCACTGCCCAGGCTTGGGCTCCATGGAAGGTCACTTCAGAGCTACCAATGCAGCGGTTTGACTCTTCAGGAGAGATTATATGTGGTTCCATTGTCCTGTTTGTGAAATGGAACTTCCCCTCCCTCTGCCTGTGTTGTCCCCTAATACCAGTCAGAGTGGGGCAGGGATTCTGGAACAGATTTAGGGGGTGCATGGGGAGAAGAAAGTGAGGAGGGAGCTCTGTGATACAACCAGAGATTCTCACACTAATGAACCTACTTTGCTGGATGCTGCCCTATAGAATCAAAACATTGATTGTGTCCATTAAAAAAAAATCCATTATTATTAAATTTTGGAACATGAAACATTGGGTCAAACTGAAGAAGTAACTGGATAGAGAATCCCTTTATACTCATTCCTGGTTATGTTATTTGAACGTTGTGGAAGGAGCTGCCAAACTGAAGACTGCATTTAAGTGTGAATTATCTGCCTGTTGTCTATCACAGATGTGGGTTGCAGAGGGACCTCCTTTGCTCTGAATAAGCTGACTGAGAAGGAAGGCAATGGAGGACCACTGCTCAGGCTTTGCACACAGACGGTCCCAGGCTCAATCCCTGGTGGTATATCCCCCAAAAGGTTTTGGGCCATAACCACTCCATACTTCATTTCCAGGAGTTCTGCTCAGATCCTCATTTCTCATTGACCGCAATCAGAATTAGATTGCATTAATCATTCATACAGCTGGCAGAAGTCCTTTCAGAAAGGTTTGTAATTAGGGCTTCGTTTTTTCTCTTAATTGGCCATATTTCTTTAAGGGTGGGATCTGTGCGTGCTTGCCTATGTCCTGTCATACTTCCAGTTAATGATTCAGATGACTTTGCAGTTCTACCTTTTCCACTGCCTGCTACCTGACCTTTTTGTTTTTTCCCTTGAGCTGCTCCCAGGGATTGAATCTGGGACCTTTCAATGTGCAAAGGCGGTTGCTCTACCCCCAGTTTCCATTCTTTCCTTTTGGGGGTGCATAAAACCCCATGAGGCACATCCTGAGAACTCCCTTACTGCTTTCCCTGCCAGTGGCCTAAGCCCACAGAGCTCCCAGCATGATTTTTCGTAAGGGGTGCCCCTTCACACTTCCTGCAGGATTGGCCCTTCACTGAGAGAGCTCCTGCCTTCTGTTTATACTAGGAGTTTAGGGAATAAAGCATGGGATGGCTTGGGTGCAGTGTCTCTCACCTTTTGAGCACATTTGCAAGGAGAGATGAGTCCTCTTGCCTGTCTACTGACTGTGGGGCAGGGGAGGCAGGCTTGAGGCCAAGAAGCTGCTAGCTTGCCAGGCACTGCTCCTTGCAATGAGAGACTGGCTGCTTGACAAGTGCTCCAGTCGACTTAGGAAGCCCTACCTTTGCCCTGCCACACCTCCTCATCCCCACTTGAGACCCTGCACCACAGGTAAGGACAGGGCCTGGGAAACAACACATGACCTCTTGCTCCTTCACCCATCCTTCAGGGGCTGCCACCCACCCCACAATGCCTGAGCTCAAAGGTGCCATTCCCCTCTCAAGCATCAAAAAGCAGCCGCAGCACATGGAACCAGCCTACCTATCACAGCCCAAGCCTCTCCGCAGCTGATGTCCACATCAGTTTGCTCTCCTTCTGGCCAGGGTCTCTACAGACCCAGGTACAATCTGGTTCTGGCCGCCTTGGTGCCTGCCCCATGAGACACGGATTGCTTCCCCTCACAAAGGGAAGCCGCCTTTTCTGGTTCCTATCCTGGTGTCAATGCAGCTGTTCTATCCACTGTCCCATTGTGCAGCAAGAAGCAACCATCCAGGAGCCACTAGAGACCATCCAGCTTGTTCAAAGCATCCCCAGGAAGACTTTTCCTGGTGCCGGATCAGTGCTGCAGGTGGAACGTGGCTCTGCAGTGACCAGCATGCCCACTGGGCAGAGAGAGCAGCTCTTGGGCGCTGCCTCTGTCCCTTCCTGGGGAGTTGCTTGAGCTTTGGTGATGCTGGTCCCCATGACAACCAGAGGTGCCCTAGAGGCAGGTGCTGCCAAGAGGGGAGGGAACTGGTGCCTGAGATCCCCAGCAAGGGCTGCAGTCTTGGCAGGTGCCCTATGTACCTGCAGCCAGAGCGAGGCCCTCCTTAACAGCTGTACCTGGGGGGAAGGAAAACAGCCAGGGAGATATTCTTCCCACACCTCTCTCCCCTAACCCCAAGTAAACCTAATCTTTGTTGGAGTGATTAGCCAGTTACTCAAGTGAACCGCCCTGAGACCTCCAAGTATGGAGCAATATATAAATTTGATTAATAATAATAATAAAACATCCCATGCACTGCTTGGGGTTACAGGGTGTCATTTGGGATTCCCTCATATTGAGCCATAATGGCTAGAGGCGGGAAGGGAGTGGCAGTGCTGAACCCCCACACTGGGCAGAATGGCTTGGGCACATCGCAGTACGGTAAGTTTTTCCACCTGTAAAGTGGGAATGCCGGCACCCGCTTGACAAATTGTTAAAAACCAGCCGAGAGAGATTTTAAACCACCTGGCTGTATAGACAGCAGTAGACACGCTCTGTCACTGTCTTGCTTGTTCTCCCACCCCACCCCACCCCAATCCCTACCCCCTCCTGGCCACCATTTTCTTGGGACAGAGAGAAGGGGAGCAAAAAGAAGCAGAGGGGGTTCCCCTTCCCCATCCAGTTTGAAATGGCTGTTTCTGGGCTGAACACTAGCATTTTGCCCTGGAAAAAGCATGAAGTGTCCAGCATGCCTTTGCATTTTGAATCCTTCCACTGCAAACTTGAATCGGGAGGTGGGAAGGGAAAATGTCAGCCAAAGTTGCCCTGGATCCATTCACAGCAGGGACATTGACACTCAAGGAGAAGGTCTTCCTGATAAGGCAATGGCCCTCATGCACTTTTCATTTTGGAAATTAAGCGGGGAGAGGGTCATGGGCATAGCCAGAATTTTTGTTTGGGGGGACAGAACCTTTGTTTGCCATGTGTATTTATTGAATTGTATTGATTGGGGGGCAGCTGCCCCCCTTGGCTATGCCCATGGAGAGAGGGTGAGTCTCAAGGATTTGAGAGGGGTCAAGTGGCTCCCTCTGGTCACATGTCTTCCATGAGCTTTCTGCTCTGGCTTTGCAGATCTAGAGGATTGTGCACACCCACACAGAACTACCCCCGCCCCCACGTTCCCTTCCTGAGATCTGGAGCACGAGAAGCCAGGCCCAAAGCACAACTCGAGAGCCAAACACTTTAAAAAACATTTTATTTTGTTTTTGTTTCCTAAAAACTTGTTCTGAACTCCAGGAAGCTCACAAGTTGTAATGTCCTTCCAGTGTTTGCTACATCGAGTCTGCCTCCTTGAAGGAGCTGTGAAACGGAGCCTCCAGGGTGCGAACGTAGAGATCTCCTTTCCTGAAAGCTGAGAGGGCGGGACTGAGCCAAGATCTTTGCTGCTGCACCTGTTGCCACAGCATCCCATCCTGACAGCCCAGCCAGTCACCTCCAGCATCTAGCACTCAACTGCAAGGGGTGTTGTGGAGCCTTTGCACAGGAGGCGTCACCATGCCAGGCCAGCCTGGTCTGGCCGGGCCTTTGGTGCCACACTGTCTTTTAGGAGCAGACAAATAAATAATGAGTCTCTGAATCCTGGCAGCCTCCTGGTGCTGGGCCACATCCTGTCTGCCCTGGATACCAGTGGGGGGAAGTGCTAACGTCCAGTCCAATGCCTGACTGGCCAGTGAAATCCAGTCTGGGCCAGCGAGGCGTCTTATCCGAGACGGAGGCGGAAAGTGGCAATCTCCATGGGGTCCAGATGGACAGAGGTACTGTTGGGGGAGGTCGTGGCCAGCGGGTACATAAGTGTCAAGGAGGAGGGCTGCAGGGAGGCCAGTTCAAGGCCCTGGAAGAGGCCGCCCAGGGATAGCTGGTGGGGACACAAGAGGTTAAGAGAGGGGGGTCAGCGCAAAAGCAGACTCCAGTCCATGCATGCCAGAGGGAAGCAGCCTACCATTCAGTCAAGAAAGCAAAGCTCCAAGACAGCAAAGCCCAGCATCGTCAGCTGCCTCCTGCAGTAGCCCAAGGAACCCATCCTTCCACCCTCCCTAGAGCACATAGTTCTTGCTCCCTCTCCCATGGGTTGCCCATTCCTGCCCCTCTCTCCCTCAGAGGCCCCATGCTTACTGTGCCATGGGTGGTGGTGCAGTTGAATCCCAAGTTCCTGGCCTCCAGGCCACAGTCAAAGCCCTTTCGGTGCAGGATCAGAGCCGTCTCAGTGGAGGGCAGTGAATCGTCCTGGAGAGAAAGACATGGGTGTTGGTCATAGAAGGGGTGGGGGGAGAGAAAGCAGGGCCCAGTGCAGGGGAGAAGCAGGCAGAGGCTGGGTCAGGGTGAGCTGTGATTCCCACACTGGGCAAATGACTCTTTTTGTCCCTTCCACTGCTGAACTGGCTCCTGGTACATTTCTGAGCACGATTCAAAGTGTTGGTGCTGACCTTTAATGCCCTAAATGGCCTCAGCCCAGTATACCTGGGCCTTTTTCATAGTGGCACCTGCCCTGTGGAACGCCCTCCCATCAGATGTCAAGAAGATAAATAACTATACAACTTTTAGAAGATATTGAAAACTTTAAGAAGGCAGCCCTGCATTGGGAGCTTTTTAATGTTTGATGTTTTATTATGTTATAGAAGCCGCCCAGAGTGGCTGGGGCAACCCAGCCAAATGGGTGGGGTATATTATTATTATTATTGTTGTTGTTGTTGCGCTTATAGAAAGCTGTGATTGATCCCCACCAGTGCCCTCCCACCCAGGGGGCAACTCACCTCTCCTTGCAGGGTGCGCAGGTTGAGAAGATGGAAGTCACAAGGCAGGGGGCCCGAGAGGGGCAGGAAGGGCCTCAGGGTGGGGGGCGGTGGCTTCTCCTGGGCAACAGGCATCACCAGCACCTCAGCATTCAGCTGCATGGAGGTCAGGTGGCTGAGCAGAGATGGGAAACTCGTTGCCTGGTCAGCTTCCGCCTGGGAAGGAAGGAAAGCCCAGCAATGACAGGCAGGTGTGTGTCCCACCCCCAGGGGCCAAAGATGCTCCGGGGGCCAGGAGGTGACACACAGGAAGCCCGCCCTCCCGCCTTCTAAGCTATGATGGCCACTGAGCTAGGAGCCGGGCTACCACGCACACACGGGCACAGAGGTGGGCCCAGCAGCTACGTCACCACCAGCTAGCACACCAGACAGGGCCGGGCTTTACCTCTTGGCTGTTGGCCTTGTGGATGGGAAAGACCAAGTCTCTAAGCATGGAGGCCAGTTTGGAAAAGAAGCTGGAGCTCTGGGTGGAAATGGGGGCAGGGAGAGGGGCGGTGAGAACAGCCATGTTACAACACGACCCGAAGGTGCACAGCCCTTGCAGAGCAAGGAGGCCAGGAACAGGCCGTCTCGCCTGGGCTGGAGGGGCTCCTGGCAGATGTGGGGGGCAGGTTCCCCCCCCAAAAAACCCTCTCTTTTACACGCTACTCAAGGCAACAGTTTGCTTCCCACTTCTCTTGTTTTGAAGCCAGCCTGGCAGGGACTTCCTTCTGCTGACTCTGCATGGTGTTTCTTCCCCTCACTGCTCAGCAACTTTCTTCGGCTGCTCCATTTCACACACCCCAGGGCTGATCTCTGGGGGCATTCATGCTTCTCCCTAGGAGAAACTGACCACCCCACTCTCTCCACACTCAGTCTTCTGCCTTTTTACCAGCGGCTGACTGGTGGAACCACCTTTACGTCTCTACTGCAATTGTTCTGAAGGAGACCCTGCAGTTTGCCCTCTGAGAGCCAAAATCACTATTGCAAACACTGTTGGAATGTTTTGAATTTGTATCATCCAGCGTTATTTTGTACTTGCATGCATCTGTTTATTCTCAGGAGCCTTTCAGCTGAAACACAACAAAGCAATCCTGTCCCCAGGATGAAGAGACTCACTTCTCCTTTCTCTTCCCAAACACAGCAGACAAAGATTGTAAGCGTTTTGTGTCTAGCCTGTTTGATCTGACTAAAGCGCTGCTGGAATGAACAAATGGGTGCTCTGCAGTGTGTTGCAGGCAGGAGTTCCAAGGAAAAGTGAGGGAAAGGGCAATATGCTGAACATCCTGGCATGGAGTAATACTTCATGCAACAGGGCAGATGTAGGGATTTTGAGCTAGCTCAAGGTTCCATCAGCCTGGGACGGGTGGTAGAACGTAAGACTTTTATCATGCAAGATGAACTCCCAGCTATGGGATCATCCATGTGGGAACTGCTGTGGCTTCCCAAACACAAAGGAAAATCCTTCCTTAGGGGTGCTTGCAAGAGGTGCTGATGCCCAGGAGATTGGCAAGCAGAAGCAGCCCAGTGCCACTCTTGAGCTGTAGGGCTGGCCTGGGCCCCAAAGGAGCCTCAGATTTCGTGTCCTTCTGAATGTATCTGATCAAACTCTGCACGTTTGTTGGCACTCTGAAAAACCCAAGCCAACTAGCAAGGGAGATTCAGGTGCCTGGACAGAGTGGCCAGATGCAAGGGGTGCTGAGCACCCAGTCCTTGTACCTTGCTTGCCGCGCTGTGTCGCTCCAGGAGGAGGCGGAAGCGGTTGCAGGTCCGCTTGTTGTCCTTCAGGCCTTGCCCCAGGCCACGGTTGTCATCCTGCATGAGGCGCCGGTCCAGAATCACCTCCAGCTGGCCTGGAATTTGAACCGGGGAAGGGAGAGGAAGGAAAAGGGGGAAAGTAAGAGGAGCTCCAACCTAGACAGGTGGCCCACTTCCGACACACAGGGGGATCTTGCCAGCACAGCAGCAGCTGCTGAAGCCCCAACACAGACCCCCTGCGGCTGACCTCCCATCCCACAAACTGCTCCTCCTCCCCACTCTGGCTTCTGGCTCAATCCCAGGAGACCCTACTACCCTAGACATCAGAAGAACGTAAGAGTCTGTTGAATCAGGCCCACAGCCCATCTAGTCCAGCATGCTGTTCTCACAGTGGCCAGTCAGATGCCTGTGGGAAGCCTGCAAGCAGGATCCGAGCACAAGGGGACTTTCTCCCCTCCTGTAGTCTCCAGCAACTGCAATTCAGAAGCATTCCTGCCTCTAATTGTGGAGGCAGAGCACAGCTAACCTGGCTATTACTAGCCATCAATAGCCCTCTCTTCCATGAATTTCTCCAATCCTCTTTTAAAGCCATCTAGGTTGGTGGCCATCCCTGCCTCCCGTGGGAGCGAGTTTCACAGTTGAATCTGCCTTGCAGGAAGAAGGACTTTCTTTCCTCTGTTCTGAATCATCCAGGATGTCTGCATCCTAGTGTCTTGGGAGAAGGAGAAGTCCCAGGCCTGGTGCTTCCCATCTGCAGCCACCCCAGGAGAGACAGCTTTGCCCACTGTCCCAATCCACTCACCACTGCTGAGGCTGGAGACGCCCAAGGCTTGGGCCGTGTGCAGCGTCAGGCGGCTCCGTGCATCTTGGATGTAGGCCATGACCGGCATGGGGTAGAAGTTGGCCTGGAGAGGCAGCTTCTTCAGGTACTGGCGGGGCTGGATCTGCCAGGAGAGGAGAGTGCTGAGAAGCCAAGGGGGCAGGCAGTCCCTCTCCAGCCTCTTCGCAAGGGCGGCAGGGTGTGTGTGTGTTTTCAGCCTCCCTCCCTGCCCATTACCTGAAAGCCGTTCAGGTCAGTGAAGAAAGTGCCTTTGCTCTCAATATCTGTGCTAAATCGCAGGGCCAGCTCCTTGTTGATGTGGTCTCGGATGTCCACCAGGCAGGAGATCTCTAGGGACAGGCCGTCAACCCCTGCAGGGAGGAGCTCAAATCAAGCAATGATGGGAAGAAGGGCTTGCCTGCCTGCCCATGAGGCAGGTGGAGGCAGCCGCCTTGGGTGACCGAAGTCCAAGAAGAGGTGCCCCCATGGGATCCACAGCTGCCCCACCACCGCTGTCGCTGGCGGAGAAGTGGCGCTGGCAGTGGCTTCTGCCATTGTTGTTGCTACTTTATGGCTGCCACCCTGGTAAGGGAGACTTTGGTGGGGGCAGCACAGTGGGATGGGGTGGCAGCTTCCCTTGTCGCTTCAGGCGGCAAAACAGGATGCATCGCCCCTAAGGCAGGGATGGGACAAGCTCTCCACTGCTGCTCTCTCCCAGTCCCCAAAGCCCCATACCTGCCACGTTGTACAGCCGGACCACCTCCTGGATGTGCTGGTAGTAAACGGCCACCTCCGAGAAAAAGGGTCCCTCTGTCACCCGCACCACAGGGGGGTCCTTGGGGACATAGGGCTGCAAGGGAGAGGAGCGTCAAGGAACTCTCTGCCACTAGAGATTCAGCAGATGCCTCCCATGCGAACTGTTTAAACACCTGCTGATTATTATTTTTTAATTCTGCCAGGCCTATGCAAGCAATTCAGAGCAATTCCTCCCACAATGATTATCTGATTGTCAGTTTTTAGCTTTTGCTCTGCTTTCACTGTATGGTATTATGTATTTTTGTTGAAAACCACCTTGATTTTGATTTTTTTAATGAAATTGTGGCATGGTGGTGCTGTGGTCTAAACCACAGAGCCTAGGGCTTGCCGATCAGAAGGTTGGCGGTTCGAATCCCTGCGACGGGGTGAGCTCCCATTGCTCAGTCCCTGCTCCTGCCAACCTAGCAGTTCAAAAGCACGTCAAGTGCAAGTAGATAAATAGGTACTGCTCAAGCGGGAAGGTAAACGGTGTTTCCATGCGCTGCTCTGGTTCGCCAGAAGCGGCTTAGTCATGCTGGCCACATGACCCGGAAAAACTGTTTGCGGACAAACGCCGGCTCCCTCAGCTAGTAAAGCGAGATGAGCACCACAACCCCAGAGTCGTTCGCCTGGACTTAACGGTCAGGGGTCCCTTTACCTTTACCTAACATTCTAAATAAATAAATAACCAGAACAGGCAGGCGTTCTTACCAGGGGGAGGCTCTGGATTTCATTTCCCACCATTTCTAACCTGCCTTTTCTTACCTCCCTTTTCTTACCAAAGATGCCCCTTTACCAAGCATGGCACAGGTTGCCTGGAAGCCCAAGAATGAAGCAGACAGAGAGGAACGTTGGTCCACTTGGGAGATTTTCAGGGGCGGAATGTCTGACATGGAGGACTCCACCTCCCTTAAAGGCAGGAGTCCAGCCTGCCCTAACCTGGTGCCCTCCAGATGTTCTGAACTACATCTCTCATTAGCCACAGGGTACCATATGGAAGTGCTGGCTGGGGCTGATGGGAACTGTGGTTCAAAATGTGTGGCCTGGCTATTTTGTCTTGAACCGCGTTTATAGTCCAAAAGAGAGGAAGTGGGCTGTCTCCTGTGCCAACCAGGACGATAATAATGCCAGCCACAGAAAATGAGACACCAACACCTGGTCTAAGCTGGGAATCATTTCCCCCCAACCAGCCCACCTACCCGGGAGATGTCCTACCAACCCCAGCCCCCACGGGGGCTAGCCCTGCCCAGACCTTGGCTTCTCCGTCAGGCAGGAAGAGGTAGGCACCGCTTTTGTCTTTGGTGCTCCGGGTCCCATAGATGAGGAACTGTCTGCTCAGCTTCTGCTCCTGGGCGTCGCCTGCCCGGTGCACACTCTGCCGGGGAACAAGTGGAGTCCTGGTGAGCACAGGGGCCCACAAGGGGCCCTCCCCGTGGCCGTCAAGCTAAGCTGCACCTGCCCACCTGGTGGGCCCGTCCTCACCTTGAGGGAACCGCTGCCCCCAGAGAAGCAGGCTCGCATGTGCTGGTTCTCCAGGCAGAAGTCCTCCGTGGCTGTAGGGATGACCCGCACCGGGAAGGCCTCGTGTTTGTGCACAGGGAGGTCGCGCCCGTGCAGGAAGAGGCGCACCGAGGACTTCAGCGTGTTGTGGCTGTCAAAGGACTTGCTCAGCTGCAGGATGCTGAGGCCCAGGGCCGGCAGGCGCATGTTGATGGACACCTGTCAATCGGAGCACAGGCAAGGGCAGCAGCAGTTCCCATTGCTCCCCGCAAGCACACACATTCGATGCACTACAAGGGGCCCAGCAGCCACCAGGTGAGCAGCAGAATTCCCTGTACAAATCCTTGGGGAAGAGGCATGCCGGTAAGGCTTAGTGCGCCCCAATGGTAAACTCACAGGAGCAGCCCAATGGGAAGATGGGAGCCCATCAGCATGGAAGGGCACCTGGGAACCTTCTCTAGCCAATTTCCACCTCTGACAACGAAGAGCCTGGTGGCATCTAGAAGATTATCAAGCTATGGCGCTCCCAAGCCCCAGGTGGCTGAACACCGTTGTCCCCACTTCCGCCTTCCTTCCCTCCAGGCTCTACCTGGTAGACATCGGGGGCCATGTCTGTGGCAGAGGTCCACTGGGCACTGAGCTGCACAGCTAGGGGCTGCCCCTCTTCGTTGAGGACCCGGATACGAGGTGTGTTCACCAGCAGGGACACAATGCTCAGCCGCTCCTGCTCCAGGGGGTTAAACACCACCACGAACCTGCAACAGAGAACAGGGAGGTTGCAAGATTGGCCAGTTTGGTCCGTCCCTCCCAGGCTCAAGTCCGTAACCCCATGATGTCCCAGCCCAGGGCCCGGGATACCCACTTCCCTGCTGTGTCTCCTGCCTGCTCCCCACCCTCTTTTCTCAAGGGCAGCCCCACTCACCCACCTGGGTGTTGCATCCAGCTTGATGATGGTTTTCTCCGGCAGGGAGTCCTGATTGAGGCGAGCCTCATCCTGGAAGAGAGAATGGGTCAGGCTGAGTGACCATGGGGTCTAGAAGCACAGGGTAGGACCTGGCTGGGGCCAGCTCATGAGCTGCAGCCCCCTTGCCATGGTCCCCTCTCCCTGGGGGCAGCAGAGCCAGGCCTCCCCACCCCACATCTTCTAGATCGCTCCCTCTGGGCACAGAGGAGCAGGGGGTGGGCTGTGACTCACTGCGCCAAGGAAGGGCACCGCCAGGTCGTAATGGTAGGCCTCTTTATCTGCCAAGACCAGATAATGGGCAGCGTTGATGATGACCCGCTTGAGGTTCATTAGCGAGTGGAGCAGCCTAGAAGAGGATGGGGAAGGGGAGAGAAAGATGGCCATGAGGCCATAGGGCACAGAGCCCCACTGCCACACCTGGTTGCAGGGAACCCATGCCAGGCCTTACCAACGCAGGCCAGGCCTTACACACACCTGACCCCATAGTCCACTACCACTGCCTCCTTGGCAGTGCCAGTGATGGCATCGTGGTGCTGGAAGAGGCCCAGGTTGCGCCGTGCATCCGTCAGCATGGCGTAGTCCGAGAGTGGGTACTTGCTGTCCATGCCGGCGTGGCGGGCATGGCTGAGAGCCAGGCTGTACAAGATCTCGGCACCACTGGAGGCAAAGACGGGGTGGGGGGAAGAAAGAGGCTGTGAGTAAACCTTGTTCTCCCAGCAGAAGATGCCAGGCAGGGAGTCTCCTCCCTCCCCTCTGACCCCCCCCCCCACAGACCCCTCACCGGAGATGAGCCTCCAGCACCCTGCCCATGCTCTTGTAGAAGGGCCGGGAGGTGTAGTAGCCGGTCCAGTAGTGGTCCTCTCGGTCCGCGTAGGAGAAGAAGTCCCCGCTGACCACAGGGAAGCCGGGTGGGCGCATTCCAGGGACGATGCCCACTTGCTTGTACAAGGCGTCAAAGTAATCCGAGAGGGTCCCAAACTGTGCCTGTGGGGGAGGCATAAGCTGAAACTGCATCAGAATCCTTGGGGGGGGGGAGACACCCAGTACCTTGGGATGGTGGGGTGGCCCCATGCATGGCAGGAGAAGAAACTGCCCCCCAGAGCCCCAGAAGGAGACTCTGCCCCAAGGATCTGGAGTAAGGCGCTCTGCAGCAGCCACCTCTTTCTCCCAAGGGAGCAAACCACCCCACCCTTTCCCAGGAAGCACCCCACTCGAGCCAAGGTGGCTGTACCTGCACATGGAGATCTGGGTGGGCATTGAGGAAGTCAAAGAGGCGCTGATAGTTGAGGAACTGGGCATCCCACTCCTGGGGCTTGTCGTAGCGGAAGTCGTCCCCCAGCGGCACCAGGAGCACTTTGCTGCGGTACAGCTTGGACTTCTTGCGGTACTGGTCAAGCAGGAGCTGTGCCCTGCAGAGAGGACGGGGGGGTCAACAACCAGGACAAGGACATGCCTGTAGGCCTGGCTGACATGGTCTGATCTTCATGGCCAGAGCCAGAGAGACAGGAGGAGGCATCTAAACTATGGCACTTGCTGCCACATGAGGCCGTGGTGGCCACCAACTTGGACGGCTCTAAAAGAGGGTCGGAGAAACTCAACAGGGGAGAAGGGTCTATCAATGGGTGCTGGTCACAATGGCTATGTTCTGCCTCTGAATACCAGCTGCTAGAAAGCACAAGTGGGGAGAACGCTGTTGCGCTCTGGCCCTGCTTGGAGGCTTCCATAGAGACCTAGTTGGCCACTGTGGGAACAAGATGGGCCTGTCCCAACAGCCAGGCTCTTCTTAGGAGATGCTGGAATCAGCAGGAGGAGGCAGTTTGTCAAACAGTCCCCAAGCACTCTGGGCTCTGTGGGGGCTGCATCATCTCTGGAGGCACAGAACCCAGCTGGGAGAGCAGAGGGCAAGTGGTTGATGGAAGAAGCAAGCAGGACCACCACCCCAAGGAGCCAAGGATGACCATGAGAAGCCACTCACCGCTCGGCCACATTGGCACTGGTGATGGCCTTGGGGGGCACTTTCCAGGGGCAGTTGATGCGCCCCCCTGGCAAACGTTTGAAGTCGAACTGGCAGCAGATCTTGGGGTCGGGACCACAGGTGTGGGGAACGTCATAACTGTAGAAGGGCATCATGTGGCACAGGATATCGGTGCTGGAGTCAGGATCTGAGGGGGTCAATGCCAGCGTCACTCAGGAAGGGCCCCGGGCAAACAGAGACTCAGGAACTGTCAGGAAGAACTTTCGCCTGCCACCCGCAATGCAGACACACCAGCAACACGCAACAGCACACACCAGGCAAAGGAGGAGTCCAGAGCCCCACAGAAGGTGTGTGTGGAGCAAACAACTCCCGGTAGCCGGTGCTGACTGCAGTGGGAGGAAGCCCCAACTGTGGGGACGAGGGACAAAGGACGCATTGGCCCCTAATGAGTGGGTGGAGGACACTGGCAGCCAGCTGCTCCAGCTGCCAGGCTGTGAGGGGTTCGCAGGCAAGACTCTGCAGAGCCAAAAAGGCAGGTTGGGGCATAAACAATCCAGGGGCCTCCACTCACACACCCCTCACCCCAACTCTGCCGCCACATGAACTCCAGATTCTGGGTTGCTGCAAAATGTTTCTTGATGGCGTAGTGGACCCGCTGGATGAGCATGCTGGTCAGATTGGCACGACGCAGCAGGTAAGGCATGGTGGAGCTGTGGCCAAAGGGGTCCACTGCCCAGCCAGAGCGCGGCGTCACCCCTGAAGAGCAAGGAGAAAAGGCAGGCGTCAGCAGCAGAAAAGGCAAGGGCCTGTGTTTCAGTCACTGTAACCTGCCCCACTTCAAACACACTCGAGATTCTGAAAAGCCATGTAAAACAGGAGGCTTGAATGCAGACCCGAGTTATAATGTGGCATGCCCTGTACAGTGGTACCTCAGGTTACAGACGTCTCAGGTTGCAGACGCTTCAGGTTACAGACTCCGCTAACCCAGAAATTGAACCTCGGGTTAATAAGTTTGCTTCAGGATGAGAACAGAAATCGCGCGGTGGCGGCACAGCAGCAGTGGGAGGCCCCATTAGCTAAAGTGGTACCTCAGGTTAAGAAGTTTCAGGTTAAGAATGGACCTCCAGAACGAATTAAGTTCTTAACCTGAGATACCACTGTATCTTGTATCCTACACACAGCAGAGGGCTTCACTATCCCCATCCAGTCTGCAGACCTCCATGGTGCTTCTCTCCATTCTATGCCTCCTGCCACTCTCTGCGCTTCTGCCCGGCTCAAGCACTGGCTGTCATCACAAATGTGGCTGGTGCCACCCCGCCACCCCTGATCTGCCCGCCCCCCAGACTTGGCCCAGTCTGCGCACAGCACTCACCAATGTTCTTCTCCAGCCACTGGTGACCCTCAATGAGCTGGTCGATCATGGCAAAGTAGTGGGAATTGGCTTCATCTGGCATCACCCACCCGCCAGTTGCCATTTCTAGCTGCCCATTGCCCACAAGCCTGTGAAGGAGAGGTCAAGGTCAGAGGCAACCACCACCAACAGCAGCAGCAGCAGCAGCCCAAGGGTGGACCTTCCCACAGAGGAGGCAATCAATCAAGTCTGCCACATGAATATAAAGCCTACTTCAGGATACAACACTAATATCTCATATCAAATGTAACTGATCTGTAGAAAACACTTTACAACGTGAAAAAATAGACAATGCACTTACTTTTGTAAATGGAGAAAATCTTTAATAAAAATTATCTTCTTTTTTTAAAAAAAAACTTACTTCAGCAGGACTTCTCATTTGCATGAAGTATGTTCTTTCCATAAACATTTATATTGTTGTTGTTATTATTATTATCTACTAAATATCTATACCACCCTTCGTCCGTGGATGTCAGGGTGGTTCACAACATAAAAATACAAGATAAGAATACAAGAACTGTGTACGCCACACCTTGAGCCTTGAGGTGGGGTATAAATGCTTTTTTAAAAAAAATGAAAGAAATATTGTCCTAAACATCTTCCTACCAACCATCCTAAGAGCAGGGGAAATGATGAGAGTTAACCCCTTCCTCCCCTCTTGTTACCTGCGGACAGCAGCCCGTTTCTGGGCGCTGATGTTGTCCCACCATTTAGAGAAGAAGGAGATTTCGGACCAGATGAAGCGTCGTCGAGGATCCTCCTGCAGCTTCACCACCATGCTGTTGAGGATGTGCTGCGTCTGGTCGAAGTAATACTTGTCAAATGTCTTGATCCAGCCTTGGGGAAGCAGAAAAGGGAACATCACTGCAGTCCTGTTTAGAGCAGCCTTCCTCAACAATTGCCCTCCAGGCACTGGACTACAACTCCCATCAACCCCTTGACGGCACAGCCAATGGCCGCCAGATTGGAAGAAGGTCAACGTACCTCCGCCTGCACACACATTTTGCTTCCTATCTTGGGTTCTACAAGTGTTAGAGACTCTGGGGATTGTGGCTCACTGGGGTGAGGAGGTTGCAACTGAACCCCTTGTCTTCCCTGCAGATGCTCCTGGCTACAAATGAGCCTCTCACCAAGCAATGGGGGAATGCTGCCTGCCGCCCCCCAGCTTGCTTACCTGGGTCGTTGTGGGAATGTGGCACCACAAACACTTGCAGTGGTTCGGCATCCCATTCGTGTGGCTCATAAGTGATATCAAAGCCTTGCTTCCACACCCCGCCATCCTGGTTGTCATAGGGGAGCAACGCAGACACAGCCAACATCTGGGAAAGGGCAAGAGTGTCAAACCAAGGCATAGCAATGGAAGAGTCTCCTTTCCACCCACCCCAAGCCAGTCTGCCCTTAGCAGCCTCGTAGCTCAGGGCACCAGCTACTCCCCTTGCCTTAGGAGGCCCTGGGTCCTGCTTGTGGGCTTCCCTCCAGGGCATCTGGGTAGCCACCATGAGAAACAGGTGCAGGACAAGATGGGTCACTGGTGGTGTAAATGACTATCATACTTTGAAAAGCTCAATGGATCAAGTCCATTTTGTTGAATTAATAGTTTTAACTGGATTTTGAATTAATTAATTGTTACTATCCTGAATATATTTGTATTATTATCTTCAGCACTTTTTTCTAAAAAAATAATATTTAGGGGTACTCTTATTTTCCTAAAGGTAAAGGTACCCCTGCCCGTACGGGCCAGTCGTGTCCGACTCTAGGGTTGTGCGCCCATCTCACTTAAGAGGCCGGGGGCCAGCGCTGTCCAGAGACACTTCCGGGTCACGTGGCCAGCGTGACAAAGCTGCATCTGGCGAGCCAGCGCAGCTCACGGAAACGCCGTTTACCTTCCCGCCAGTAAGCGGTCCCTATTTATCTACTTGCACCCGGGGGTGCTTTCGAACTGCTAGGTTGGCAGGCGCTGGGACCGAGCAACGGGAGCGCACCCCGCCGTGGGGATTCAAACCGCCGACCTTTCGATCGGCAAGTCCTAGGCACTGAGGCTTTTACCCACAGCGCCACACGCGTCCCTTATTTTCCTACTCATACAGAAATACTGCCCCTCAATGAGGCCAAACTTAGATTCACAAAATGTTTAGGGGTATGCATACCCCTGCGTCCACCCAGAAAAAGCATTGATTATCTTCCTTAATGTGTTGTGAAAACTACTGTTCTGAATACTCCTTTTCATAGAGGAGAAATGTCACTGGGAAGGAGTTTAGGGTAGCATAATTTTGGGAACCACTGTCCTGTCATGTGAACACCAAAGGCACAGGGGTCCTGCTTCCAATCACAAGCGCTGTGTTCTCCCTCTCCCTCCACCAAATAACAGTAGTTGCTGGAAATGGCAGGAGGGGAGAGAGTGCTCTTGTGCTCAGCTTCAGCCCCAGGGTTTCCCTATTGGGGCATCTGGAGGACACTGCAAGAACAGAGTGCTTGGCTGGATGGGGCCCTTTTGGGCTGATCCAGCAGCAACTAGGTGCTTCTCATGCTCTTCACTCCTCTTCCCCCCTCCAACTCTTTCAGGCAGCACCGTTTACACAGTCCTGTCCCCCACCCCCAACCCAGCTGACCTGCAGGTCTTCCTTCTGGCTGTTGCTCTTCAGTGCAAACTGACAATCCTGAGAGGAGATGGAGTAGAAGCTGGGCCGGCTCTCAGGAGGCAGGACCCAGGAGCCATTGGGCATGTGGAAAGGCAGCACCACCGGCTGGCCCTCCGCGTTGGCCGTCAGCTCCAGCACGGAGTCCTTGATGTGGCTGATGATTTCGTGGTTCTCCTCCAGGAGCTGCTCCAGCTGTTCAATCCGGTTCTGCAACACTGAAATCTGGCTCTGTGCGGGGGCGGGGGAGAGGACGAGGAGCAGAAGAGGTGGCACAAGTAGGAGGAAGTTGTGAGCAGCCTGCCAACACTCAAGGCTGCCTGCCTTCTTCCTTGCCTCCCTTTGCCAAACACTGCCTGGCTGAGCGAAAAGGGATGTCCAGCATGGCACGGCCTCCTTCCCACTCTTGCCAGCAGTTGTGCAAGTGCAGCCAAGGGACTTGGGCTGGGGAGGAGGTCTTTAGAGTGTGGCGGGGGGGCTGCCGCTCTTCTCTGACCCTGCCGCTTCGGACCAGAGATTGAGCCACTGCTGCGGAGACAGTCAGGGACCCCAACCCACCAAGTCACTCTTGGAAGCCCTTGGCAGTGGCTCCTGTGTCTCTACAAAGGGCAGAAAGAGGGCAAAGCAGCAGGTGGAGGAAGGTCTTGCCTGCAACACACTTACCCTGGGGAAATTGCCCCCATTCTGGTGCCGAGCAGGATCATGCTGGACCCTGTCCAGCATCAGATAGAGGGAGAAGACAGCCACGCAGAAGATGGCTGCCCCACACACCGTCACCTGCTTCTTCAGCTTCATCCCGGGGGGGCCAGAGGGAACATCTGCAAGCAAGTCAGGACAGGACACAGGTGTAGGCATCAGTCCAGGCGGGGCACTTTTCCGGGCACTCCCCCTTTGGGCTCCCTTTTGCAACAGTGCAGCCCCCTCCCACCCCACAAGGCCAAGGACCCCCATCTCCCCCGAGATCTCCCTTGTACCAGGGAGGCCTTGTCCAGGCAAAGAAGGCTGCCTGGCACTGCCCAGCCCCTGCTCCTCCACAGCAAGACTTGGTGGGGCTGCCGGGCCTTTCAGCTCGCTGCCCCACCAGCCGAGGAGGGAGCCCAGTGGCGCCAGAAGCCGAAGCCGCCAGGCCTGCGCTGTCCAGCTGGGAAGGCACCGGCGCCCACTCACCTGGCCTGGCGCTGGAGGGGAAGCCGCGGCCTCTCCCTCGGCGCCCAAGCGCTGCCTGCAGCAGGCGCGGCTCCCGCAGGCCGAGCAAGCGCCGGCCGCAGCGGTCGCGATATTCTTAGCAGCTGCCGGGCCTGGAAAAAGAGGAGGAGCCGCGGAGCCGGGCCCGAGCGATGGGGCGCTCACAGCGGCTCGGGAGCTGCACTACCCGCTTTTCCTCGCCTGTGCCCGAGCGGGCAGCGCTGCAGGTTGCTCGGGCGCTCCGAGAGAGAGGGAAAGGCCGGCGCTCCGGCCAGCTGGAGGCGCATCGTCGCCGGGCACTGCTCGGCCCCTCCCGGCCCTGCGCCTCCCGAGCTGGAGTTCCCCGGGCCGCACGCAGCCCCGTCCCCGCCTCGGGGCTGGCCTTGGGGTGGGGAGAAGGCTTACTTCGGGGCAGGTCTTTTTCAGAGCAGGCGCCTCGGAGCAGCCCCGGCGTGCAGCCGACGCCGCCACCGGCCTCTCATCGCAGGGCTGGCCATGGCGGAGGCGCAGCGAGATCGCGCCGTCCCCGCACCCGCCGAGGCCACCAGCCTCCTTCCACACAAGCCCGCGGCGAGTCCCAAGACGGAGACCGGAGACTGCCAACAGCTCTCTATTAATAGAGAGGCTCTTCCCTCCAAGCTGGCGAAGGGCGCCGTCGGCGGGCCGGGCGATCACGTTTCAGGCAGGGAGAAAGAAGAGGAGGCGGCCGCTGGGCGGGCTGGGGCTGCTGGGAGTCGGAGTCCGAAATAGCGGGATCGCGGGGAGGCGAAGGAGCCTCCTGGTGCCTTCTGGATGCTCCGCTCCCAAGACCCTCCTGCTTGGGGGTTTCTCCCCATAGAATTGGGGCCCTGTGACTTCCCCCCACCCCGCATGTGCAGAAGGGACAAGGCGTGCAGGCAGAACCAGGCGTGGGTGGGTAGCTATTTATTTATTGCGTTTAAATCCCACCTTTTTTTTTCTTTAAGGAGCTTAAAGTGGCATGCATGGTTCTCCCGCCTTCCAAAGCAATCTTGTGAGGAAGGTTGGGCTGAAAGGCAGATCATGGCCCAAGGTTACCCATTGAGCTTCATGGCTGAATGGGGGTTTTGAACTCTCTGGTTTCGTAGTTCAACACATTGACCACTGCCCCACCCCTGACTCTAGTGTCAGACTAGTTGCCCATGGCAATCCTGCTTGTCAGACTACGGAATGACTCTTCCCTTCCTCCTCCTCAGCCCTCCTGAGAAGCCCGCTGGGCTGGGCACAGGAGAAGGGCAGATGCCTTGTCAGGCAGAGGGCAGCAGGCACTGCCAGTCAGTGTGGACAATACTGAGCCAGATGGGTTCTGTGTAAGGCAGCAGCATCCTGTCCACCTGTGATTTCTGGAAAGAAGGTGATCTTCAGGGATGGTAAGTACCGGTAGGTAGTAGCAGCAGCACTCACTGGGTTTTGAGCATAATCCCCTCTTTCTAGGCATCAGCTCTATCACTTTAACCCCTTCCCTTTGCAAATACTGTAGAGTTGCTTTAACAGTACTGTATATCCATTGCAGCAAGGGATCCCCTGATCAAGGGTGGGAGGAGCATCTCACTCTTCCCCTATATGCACCGGTGGCAATTAAAAGCCCTCTCCCTCAATATTTGGTACTGTCCAGTCAGCTACAGAATGTTATATGGATCCCAGAAGCAGCCTGCTATTCCACTTCTGCCTTATATTAAAACGGCTGAGGTCAGGTGCTGCTCAGTCATCCATGCCTTCTGAAGGCAGAAGAGCATCACTGCTGTACTGTAGTTGCCATTTTCTGCCCCTTTTTGAGGCATTCTCACTAAATTCCCAATAATAGCAGCAGCAAATACTATTGCACACGAAAATAGTGTTTGCTGCTGCTATTAATGATAGCATTGTAGTAGTAGTAGTAGTAGTAAATGCCATCTCTAGCAATTTGCTCCTCAACTTCCTTCCTCAGCCTCCCACCCTGTTACTTTATATCAGGACTTCTTTCTCCTCATGGGGAAAATATGTAAAATGCATAAATCTAAATCAAATAAATGTTGGAAATGTAAAGAGAAAGAAGGTTCTTTTTATAATATTTGGTGGTCTTGTATTAAGGTTAAAGCTTACTGGGAAATGATATATAATGAATTGAAAATGATGTTTAAAATAACATTTGTTTAAAAAAACCCCAGAAGCTTTTCTTTTGGTAATTATAAGGACAGAACTACCTAAACTGTATAGAAACTTATTCATGTATGCTACTACAGTGGCAAGAATGTTACTTGCCCCAAAATGGAACTAAGTAGAAGTCCCAGCAAAGGAAGAATGGATATAAAAACTTATGGAATATGCAGAAATGGCGAAATGTACCAGAAAAATAAGAAATCAAGATAACAAACTTTTTATAAAAGAATAGAAATGGTTTATTGAATATTTACATATAAATTGTAAACAGATAAGAACATTAAAGTAGATGAATAAATGAACAAATTAAGTTAATTTGGATATGCAGAAGGTATTAAAAATACATTTAAGGAACCGCAGAAAGAGGGGGAAGGAAGTCAAGTTTTGAAATGTTAAAATGACTGTAAAATTATTGAAATGTATAAACCTGTAAATCATAATTTTTTATTTAAAAAAATCACCCCCAAAATATAATTATGTACTAATTTATCTGATTGTCCTTGCATCTTCCTGCCACACTTGCCATCCTCTCCTGCCACACCAGTGTGGCACACCACACACTTTGAGAACCACTGGGGTAAATGGCCTACTGGCCACGGCGCAGCTGAGACCATTTGGCTGACTTTGGATGGAAGACTCACTGGAGGGGGGCAGACAAGATATTCATGGCCAGAAAGGGATGCCAAGAGCAAAGGTTTTGCAAGAAGGTTGCAGGCTCGGCAGGAGGTCAAGTGGGTGCAGCCTTGGTGCAGGAGATGGTTGCCACCCCTGCTGCCACCCAGTGGATTCTGGAGCTAGTTCTCTCACCGCTGCTTCTTCAGAATGACAACCAGCTCTTGGTGAATGGTGCTGAAGCTCGGCCGGTTCTGTGGCTCATATTCCCAGCATTTCTGCATGAGCTGGTATACCACCTCAGGGCACAAGTCTGGGATGCTCAGGCGCATTCCTGGGATTGGAAAAGACACAGCCAGGTCACAGGAGGATGGAGCTGGCAGGTGAACTAATAATGTGTTTTGGTTGCAATTTCCTGGGACTCCCAATGTGTGGATTAAGTGCAGGCCAAAAGTTTTTCCATTAACATTTCTGTGCATTGGTACTTTCCCCCATTCTTGCTCACCTTCAGAGAGCAAACTTTTGAGAGGCAGGAGAGGCACAATGCACACCTTATGTTTTATTAAAAAATACTTACCACTCATCTTCCTTGGTGCCAGTCCATAGCATGTCTTCAGCGAGTGCCAAGAGAAGAAGGGTGCTGGTAGAAACCCAGACCCTCCAAGGAGACCAGAGACACAGCTTCCCCCCACCTCCTGCCTAGCCTACCCTGCTAGGCTCTCACCCTTCTCCACAGCCTCGCGGGTCTGATGGTTGGTCATGTTGGGGTACGGTGTGGCTCCCAGGCTGAAGGCTTCCCAGAGCAAGATCCCAAAGCTCCAAACATCACTCTCTGAGGAGTACCGGCCTGAGGAATGAGGACGAGAGAGCAGGCATGAGAGGTGGCTTCTCCTAGATCAGTGATGGTCAGACTTGGCCCTCCAGCTGTTTTGGGACTACAACTCCCATCATCCCTGTTTACATTCCAGAGATTCCATACTGTTGGAAGTCTCACGGGAGATGGGAGACGGATGTGATGTTACTGGTTTCCTGTTCCTTTGTTGTTCAGTTGCTCTCTGCTCTCACAGAGAGAGGATGTATTTTTTTCTGTCTGTGTAGCTAGAAAATAAAGCATAGCAATGTAGCCATAAATCTTATCACTTCTGCGTGCTGCTTTGATTCTCTGCTGAATGGGAATGTGCCTGGAGCCTCATCAAAGGCTCAGGTCATTAATCACGTCGGAGGGCGATTCCGGAAGATGAGCTTTATCAGCTCGGTCGAACGGAGATTCCGACAATCCCTAGCTAGCAGGACCAGTGGTCAGGGGTGATGGGAATTGTAGTCCCAAAGCAGCTGGAGGGCCAAGTTTCCCCATCACTGTCCTAGATTCATGGTTCTAGGCTGGGTTTCCATGAACCCATACCTGCCTCTGGCAAGCTACACATCTGTAGCTAGGACCTGATATGATCCAAAAGCTCATTAGGGTATCCGTATACAAGTCTGGAGGACAAGGGGCCCTGCTCCCTGCCTGCCAGCCAGGCTGGAGGGTACTACTAAAGCAGGTGGGCCTGGAGCTACAGCTGTGGGTACCGTGACTGAGTGCCTCTGGGGCTGTCCACTTCACAGGGATCTGTTTCATGCCACCAGTGGAGGCGTAAATGCCGTCCTCCTGCTCCCGCGACATCCCAAAGTCACTGATCTTCAGGGCGTTCTTTTCTGTCACGAGACAGTTCCGGGCCGCCAGGTCCCTGCAAGGGGTAGCAGATCCAAATGTCTGACTGGTACCGAAGACTTCAGGGAGGGGGGCAGCCTCCCAGACACCAACGCCTGGAACTTAACTCCCAGCTGTTTCCCACTACCTAGGCAAGAGACTCCCGGCTCCAGCCCCAAACATCACCTGATGGGTTCTGTACATGTAAACTAGCCTGTGCACATTGTAGCAGATTTGCAGGCAGCTCATTTCCTCCTTGCTCAAAGATGGGAAAAGCCCACAGGCAGGAACTCTGCCTCCTTCCCCAGGGAAAAAGCCTCTCCACCTGCCTGCTCCACCCTTCAGGTTTGGAAGTGCCACCAACCCCACAGCACAGTCTCTGCCAAAGCAGAGAAGAAAGAAAGAAAGGAAGGAAAGGAGGGAGGGAGGGAGGGAGGGAGGGAGGGAGGGAGGGAGGGAGGAAGGAAGGAAGGAAGGAAGGAAGGAAGGAAGGAAGGAAGGAAGGAAACCCTCTTTGCACAGACAGGGGCAGGGGTACCCACCGGTGGATGCAGTGCTTGCTGGCGAGGTACTCCATGCCTGCTGCCGCATTCTCCATCATCTTGAGCAGGTCCTTGACTCTGAGCTGAGCTCCCTCATTCCGCAGGAAAGACAAGAAGTCACCCCCTGTGAGATGAGAGAGGGAAGCTGGGCTGGGAGCCAGCTGGCCAGTGTCACACCAGGGAAGCTGGGAGCCATGGCAGGATAGGGAGCAGAGGCTCTGGAGCTCAGCCTGAGAGCTCCTGGTTGAGATTCCCTCCTGGAATCAGGGGCAGGAAATGTTTCTGAATACCAATTGCCGGAAACTGCAGGATGGGGAGAGGGCTATGACCCTCAAGTCCTGCTTGTGGGCTTCCTATCGGCATCTGGGTGGCCATAGTGAGAACAGGATGCCAAACTAAATGGGCCCCTGGACTTATCCAGCAGCCAAGCTCTGCTGAAGTCAGCAGGGAGAGAAGTAGAGCAGCTGGAGCTTTGTGAATAAATGCCTCTAGACTTCAAGGCAACACAGAGT